TCAGCATTACAGATGCGGATCCAAAAAAGTTGGCAACCTTGCTAGTCAAGCAAGCCGGGAACGAGAGATCCCAAATAGAAGAAGCTATGGAGAATGATAATGGAGTGGCTGATTTTGTTGTGTATGGAGCCAATTTGACGTTTGTGAATTGGGAAGATGCTGATCTCTATGAGTTGGAAGTGAAAGGGCATAAGCCGGTTTGCGTGCATTATAACATACAAGGTGTTGGAGATGAAGGAGCTGTTTTATTGCTGCCAGGGCCTAAAGACTTTGGAGAGGGTAGAGGTGAAGGAAGAGTGGTGAATATTATTTTGCCAGAGAAAGAAGTGTTTGGGCTGAAATCTGAGTTGAGAAAGAATGATCTGTTGCTTGAGAATGAGCTTGAATGAGTGCATATGTGTGGTAATTAGAATTTGGTGTGTGTTAAATGTGATGTATGGACAATATTTATGGGTAGCTAGATTTCTGTGTAATTGAGAGGCGATCAAATAGTTGAGAAAATATGTATGAAAAATAACTGAGCGTTATGGCTTCTTTGTTTCAATGAATCAACAGAGGATTGTGATCAATTAGAATTTAATGTTGGAAGCAAACATGTTATTTTTAGAATTTAAATTTTAGCATATGTATCGATGACCTAGATACCTGCAGGTTCACTTCAAGACGGCCAACGACTACACGCATAATAAGTACTGATCTTCTTCAGTTCAGAGAACTCAATCATATCGATGACCTAGCTACTTGTTGGGCTAGTTGCATATGTGTGTATCTGCAGATATCTGACTTCAAAACTTTAACATTTTGCCATCTACACAACGTCGCTTATTGTCAAGCTAGATGTAAACTCTGTTGCTATTTACATTCTCAGTTTATCATATTACTATGCTCTAATATTTTGTCATCGCTAAAGGACTCGCGAGAAGTCTGCAAAAGGTGACAAAAGGATGAGGGTACGTAGCATTGCACTTTTATTTTCGTTATACAAGAATTTGAGTGGAAGAGAGCAAATCCTCTTAATTATTTGAGTTACAAGTTTCTTAATAGTATTGCATATTATTATTGATATGATATGCCAAATTTACTTTTTTTTTAAAATTTTTTTGGCTTTTTTACAATAAAATTTTCCTGCAAAATTAAGTGCTATTGGCTGTCATGGTATAAATGAGGAGTCAATTTGCTGGTGAATGTTTTGCACCACCGCGCATGACTTAATTAGGCCCTGCATACGCATGTGACCACCGCGCATGTCTAATTGTGGTCCAAGACAATTGGGACCAGTATGAATATTTTATTCGAGTCATGATTTGGGACAACTCATGATTTAGGCCATTTCCTCTTTTTAATTTTGAAGAGAATAATTGGGTAAGGGTTTTTTTTATTTTTTATATATACAGTTTTTAAAAAAAAAACATAAATATATGTATATATAGGAGTTTCTTCAAATTGGGGCCCTCTCAATTCGGGATCCTTAGGCGGCCTTCTGACCTGCTTGTATCTAGGACCTCCTCAATGTAACAATCAATAATTCAAGATGATAGATACCTAAATTAGGAACCGTTTGGGACTACTTTTGTAAGAAGCATTTCTCTTCAAGTTGTTTTACTACAATAACGTACAAAAATTTGTTACAATGTTTCCTGTTAAAAGCACCTATGAACAATTTTAAATTATTCTACAAATGCAGTCAAAAACCATTTTTGATTAACTCCGAGCGGGGATTAATCCCACTCCTTGAATGTGGGGACACCTCTTGGTATTTATCCCAAAAAAATAGCATTTTTGATTATATTTTGGAAGCACTTTCGAACAAGCTTTTAATTATTCAATAACGTTGTCAGACTCATCATAAATAAATAAATTAAATTACAATAATCTCCTTTCAAATTCAATCCATTAAACCACTTTCCCAACTTCAAACAGTCAACCAAAAACAAATTAAGAAGTACGTACTGAGAATAATTGACACCTGGGAACAGACTTTAATTTCTCCTATTTTCTGATAGGTGAGAGAGCAACTTGTCGTTGGAACCAAAGCGTCCAGATTAATCAAGGTGATAGGGATCACAATGAAAGCAACGGCTTCCTCAATTATTTACCATTTGTAAATTGTATTTATTAAAATAAAATAAAATAAACACATTAATTAAGCCCTTATGTCATGCACGCAAAGGTCTTTTATGGCCCTGGCCCATGGAATTAACATGTAATTAATGTGAAATTAATGGACTAGCATTATGGTTTTGCAAGGAAGACTCGTGAGGTCCAAATGGAGGAGGCATGCAGCATTAGGTTTTGAGGTTTTCTTTGCATGGGTTGTTTTATGAAACAAATACATGCATTTGCTTCCTAATATACTTCCTGAATACAAGCGAGTTTAAAAGAAAAAGAAATGGAGGAAGAGGAGAGCTTGGAGGAGAGAAAAATGGTGTTTATTGTCGGTGTCTGATCTGATTATACTTACATGCATTAATGTTTAGTTACAAGTAATAGGAATGAGAAGAAAATGGTATAGGATAAACAAGGAATGGTAATCGGATCAACTAGGAGGGGGGTAGTTGATCCGATTCTCATTCTTTTGAGTATTTGAAGAAAAAAAAATTATTTGAGACTCGCTTGTTAAATAATTCCTTACGTGTAAATACGTGCAAGGGAAGTTATTAGGAATGAAAATATCAATCCTTCTTAATTTCCATTACTTAGAAGTAAACATTTTCTTATGAACCTGTTAAACACCTCTGCTTTTTCATATTTATGATATATAGACGGAGTTTCAAGTGATGATAACTTGGTAGATGAATGTGTTATTACATGATTATGAGAGCTTCCAGTACTGAAGTTGAAGTCCCGTGTGGTCATAATTCATTGTGGTTGATCATCATCAAAATTGAAATGTATATCTAGGTGGCATTTGTCTGAAAGAGACTTAAAAACCCCTCTTTCGAATCTATTATGATACGTGAGAGCTCAACTTATGGTTGGATTTATAAACGCCCAAAACCAAGGTGATAGTGATCATGAAAATAACCCTGCTTTATTATTATTATTATTCTTTTAGAGAAATTACATAATACTATAGTAGAATGGTCACGCGGTACATCTTGTATACGTGTTATAATATGGGTGAACGACATGATTTATTTTTCTCTTTATAAGAAATGTCTCACATAACCGTACTACCGTAGTATTCTATAATCTCTTTTTTTTTTTTTTAAGAATGCCAAATAGAAGATTGGAGTTACACATAAAACCCAAAATTTAAAATTAAAAGAAAATATATATTTTTATTATTGATAAGTCAGTGATGAGATGACTAGATAACAATTACAGATAACATGGTTGGAAAATCAACTTGGAAACAAAAGACCATCTCACAATCAATCGGGTTTTGGACATACCCTTTATATAATGAACCTGTCACTCTAGTCCTATCCAGTATCCACTTGTTTTTTTGAGGTGAGATTGAGAAGGCTTTCATTTTCACTTCGTTGATTGGATTTTGGGCTGGCTGTATTAGAATTCATTGCTGATCACAAGCACAGCGTCCAACAATCACATATACACAAACAAACAATGCAAAACCCAAACTTCAGACTTTATATGGCCATGGGACTTAAATTCATGGACTGGCACTATCTTGGCCTTTTTTTCTTTTTTCTTTTTTTTTTTTGGTCAGAACGATAATGCTACTTCATTCATCATTAATTTTGGTTATTGTGATTTTAGTTTTCTCAATTTCGTCACTGTTTTCTCAAATTTTCTCTAATTGGCTTCAAATCACAACCAAAAATTTGCTTAAACTCATGAATATTACTCAAGGATTGTTCAAAATCATGCATATAGCCTTGAATTTGATTTTCAAACAAGAATAATCTTTGAAACTCAATTTCTCTATCAAATAAACACGAAATTTAAAATTGGAATTAGTTTTAGAAAGCTCATAAGGCGACCTTTTAATCTCCCAACATCATTTCTCTCCAAAACAAATGGATAGTTTTCCCTAAATTGAAACTCTGAATTTTTCTAATTAATTACCACTATGACCAAAATTGCTTTACATAATCAAACACGGTCATCAAATTGAGACTACGAACTAATGTACCAAACCCGCAAAAAGTAGATATACCAGAGTTGTACCCTAAAACCCATGAACTTGTGCCGATTTGCATTTTGGTTCTTTAATTTGAAAAATGATTGTTGTAATCCCTAACTCCACTTTCATTAGAACTGTTGGTTTTGCCTTCATAATACGTTATATTTTCCGTCAAACTATGGGCAAAATAGTCATTTTAGGTAATTTTCACAATTTACATTTTAATCCTCCAACTCGAATATTGGCTCTAGTAGTACATCACTTTCTCTTGTACCATGGGACCAACCACCACTAGCGTAGAACAAAATGATGGTCCAAATCCCTAAAGCCCCAGCCAGCCACTCCCTCCTTCTCCCCTTCTCCCTCGTTCTCAAACTTCACCCACAAATCCCCAATTTCTTCTGGAAAACCGGCTTGGCTTGCTATAAAGAGAAGCGGGTGGCTTAGACCCACCTGAGCTTTAAGTTCACCAATAATGTCACTCGTCTTACTCTCAAGTTGCCAAGTTGAAGGTTATTATAAATAAAGTTACTCAAGTTGGCAAGTTGCCATCTTTGAAGTTAACTACATAAATATCCGGATTTTCCAATGAAAAGTAGTTGCCTACTTTCTCTCTCTACAGGTAGAAACACTTTTCCTCCCAATCAAAATGTGATTTCCTTATTTCAATGAGAAATACTAAATAAACATGAGACGAGAGCAAGTCTATATAGAAACTCTCTTTTGACCCAAAGACCAAAAAATTTAGACCAGCTAATGTAGCAGACAGTCAAATTGTTCATGAGTCAAACAGCCTATAGTTTAATTTTCAACAAAGACATTTTTATAGAAATTTTTTTATAAGTGACAGCAATATCATATCCTATTCAAACTCAAGACCAACATCTGGGACTTTCCTTGCATCAAAACGTTAGAACAAAAACAATCCCCTGCATTTCAGAAGCAATTATTTGACAGATGTTTTATTCTAAGAACAAAAACAAAACTTTATGTACAATATATCTTGCCTATAATTATGTGTTGTCATGGACAGGGATACAACTCTGCAATTTTCTAATTTAACCATCCGTCTGATTAGCATATCGAAATACTTTCCTTGCTTAGCAGGGTACATATGGAAGTAACGAAACGGTAGGCTTCAGTTTCCTCTGTCAATGCCAACCGTGACTAAGAAGGTAGAGAAGATATACTGGTGTATATATACACAAGAACATCAGAGAACCTATTTATTGTTTTTCGGATGATCCTTCTCTTTGCCGGCGCATTCGAGCTCCCCATGACATATGTTCTCTAGCATTCTTGTTCATGCTTCTTCTCTTCAACCCAGATAGCTGACTTTGCCATCGATTCTTCCAGTCGCCTTTCTCCTCCATTCCCTGAAATTGTAAATTCCAAGTTAAAATTTAATGCAAATGTCATAAATTGGAGAGACTATATTAGGAATATCATCCCCCCAGCTGCCTATAAAGGATAAAAACAGAGGAGAAGCTAAAAGAAACTAGTCTTGGCCATTTTATTTTAAGGGTAAAACTATAAAGGTCACAAATACATGCAAAAGTAAATGTGCCCCTAACTCAAAGAAGGATTGACACAACCAAGTACACTAATCCATAAGCTACAAATGAGAAAATCATACTAGCAGAACTCAGAAGTTTCACATATATGGAAGGTTTAGACAATTGAGAATGAAAGATAACTCTAAAAAGAAGTGATTATAAGATACCATGAATGATTAACAAAGTACAATGATGAAGGAAACAAGAGGCTGCTAAAGCACAAGCCGAACGGAAACTAGACACCGGAACTTCAACCCACCGTACCAAAGATTTGACAAAACATCCAGGAAGATACAACTATTTCTTTATTTTAAAAATTTTGAAGCACCTTCCTTCATCATGTATGTCACAAAAGCAAACCAATAATTCAGCAGAGAAAAAGTCGAAAGGAAAAAAAAAAATTACACAATACCAATTTCAATAAGAATAGAATAAGCAAAAAAAGGAGAATGAAAAAGAAATCATCACATACCCAAAACATACCAGTAAACACAAAGACATCACCGAAAGAAAAAGAAGAACAAAAATGAAAATCAACACAGAAAAATAAATAAAATACTGAAATTCCCAATACCAAAACTCAACACCCAGAAAATGAAGCCCATATCGATTCTCTAGAGAAGAGAAGTAACAATTCCAATAACAAAATTGAAATCCCAGAAAAGTCCTCCGAAAATTAACACAAAAGTCATCAGAAAATCTAAATACAACCCAAAATACCTCATCATATTGGCATCTCCTTGCGGAGAAAGCAAGGTGAAGACCTCTGGCCATGTCTCGATCATACATAGCTCTCCTTCTCGAATCAGACAAGGTCTCATAAGCCTCCTGAACCCGAATAAACTTCTCCGTATTCTCCTCGACCCGGTCCGGAGGCGACACGTCGGGGTGGTACTTCCGGGCCAGCAGCTTGTACGCCTGCTTGATTTGGGTCACGGATCCGGATTCGGGTATGCCCAGAAGCTCGTAGAAAGTGAGCTCCTTGTGGTCGGCCACCATGACCCCATCGTTGATTGCGGCCTTGGCGTCGAGTCTGAGCGACCCAAATCCGCTCCGGAACGAAAAATCGGGTTTTGGGAAGAGGAAGTTGGGTTTCGGGTCGGGTATGGGTCCTCTGGTGAAGATGGTTGTGTGGGTTGTGGGGATGTAGAAGCAGGAATCGCTTCCTGAGATTGCTAATCCATAGCTTCGCATCTTTCTCTGATTTCCTCTGTTTCTGCTCTAATGGGTTTGCTTGCTCTTCTGCAAATGCTAGCTTTTTATCTGTCTTTCTATCTGTCTTTGCTCTTCTGCAAATGTTCACAAAAAATAAAAATAATGAAAATGAAAGGGTGAAAGCATGAAGACATTTATATTTGTGGAGCTCATTGTATATTGGGGCTACAGCACAAGTTTTATATATATATATATAGCTGCTGGCTTTTAATCCAATGGGCAGTTTGGTAGTTTTGTTCTTTGATGTGGGACAATTTGGTTTTTTAACCTACCAAAAGAAATAGTAGAGAGATATCAATATTTTTTTACTAAAATAAGGAAGCTTCTACTAACCCTTGAGATTTATAATAGCATTACTTCATTTTTTTACTATGTAAGTAGAAGTTCATACATTCTTGCCAATAACAGTGTGACACGTGTGCATAAACTTTTTTTTTTGTATTTTTGATAAATTATTTGTGTATATGTGTCAAACTGTAATTCGAAAAAAAGAGCAGTATCTCCTTACAGGTAAGGTAAGGAGACAAGTAGTATCTTTACCAAAAATACTCTTGCTCACTGATTTACCACTTTTTAGCAAAAATACTCTTGCACACTGGTTTATCACTTTTTACCAAAAATACTATTGTACACTGATTTATCACTTTTTATCAAAAATAGTCTTGCTCACTGGTTTACCACGTTTTACTAAAAATACTCGCTCACTGATTTCCCACTTTTTACCAAAAATACTCATGTTCACTAGATTGAGAAATTATAGAATGATACGGTAATACAACTTCCTACTCAAATACGGCCATGTGTAAATTTTATTAAAATATTAATTATTATTTTACAGCTGGACTTTTTAATTATCAAGACACTACTCCATTCCTTCATCTTCAATACCAGTTTAATCCTCCTCCCTCTAAACCCACTGTCTGCAATTAGTATAAGGGGTGAAGATGGTGGAAGGGAGAGGGGTGGCCATCATAGAAGGTAGTAGGGATTAGGGTTGTTGGGTTGGGAGAGAGGTGATTATTATGAAATTTTACTTTTTATTTTTCTAATTTTATTTCGAAAGTGAAGAATTAAACTAAAAAATCCAGCTCTGAAAAGATAATTAATTTCATTTCTAAAATGGACACATGGTTGTATTTGAACGGGAGTACTATACGCTGACATGGTATTACTGTATTATCCACTTACCAAATAATAATCTTGGTTTATTTTTGCTACAAACCAAAATTTTAGCTACTTCACACACAATAAAATTAAATGAAAAAAATGCATGTTTTTAACATTTTCAAGGTAGGTTTTGTTTTTTTAAAGTAAAATTAAATGTTTGAAGAGCTAAAGTCAATTTGCCAGTCCTGAAGAGAGAGATGAGGTTGCAACTTTGATGACTGAGGTTGAAGAGACTGTTGGAGAGAGTTTTTTTTTTTATGTGGCTCACCTTTTTTTGTTTTTTTATTTATTTCTTTTAGAAAAGGCAATAGTATTTATTGAATACAGAAAGTAACAAGTACAAAAATGTAATACCCCGAAAAATTCAAGGTGGATTTTCATTTTTTAGTGAAAAATAATATAATTGTGGAGAATGATTATGGGTATTTTATCAAAAGATCTTGGATTGAGATTATTAAATTAAGTATGTTTAATTTGAAGTTGGACAAAATGACCAAAAAAAATTACCCCTATGTGTGAAAGATTACCAAAATACCCTTGTAGATAATAACCACCCAAAAAAAAAAAAAAAAAGCAACGTGGAAGCCAAACATTCATCCTTTCCTTCATTCTTCCCCTATTCCCTCTTTCTTTCTCTTCAAAAATTTGATTTTGGGATGAGTTGTAAACTTATGGTGGATGAGTCACCTAGTCTAAAAATGGTGACTCACCTAGCCTAAGAGTCTTTCTTATTCTCTTCCTCCCCATTCATTGTATCAACACTCTCTTCTAACTTGATGACTCACATTATTCCCTTCCTCTTATCTTATCTTTTGGTGGTGTGTGTTGTGATTTCATTGGCCAAAGGGGATGAGTCACATTATTCCCTTAATTTTATATCTTATCTTTTGGTGGTTTAAAATATTGTATATATAAATATTATTTGGGTGCATGCATAGCCTCTCCTATAAATATCATGTTTCCTTACTTGAATCATTCATTCCAATCCTTTATTATAGATTTCTACCATGAAGTAGAGAGAGAGAGAGAGAGAGAGAGGGGGGGGGAAGAAAAAGAAACAAGATGAAGAGCATGTGTGTTTGTCTTGCAATATTTCATACTTATCTTGGTGAGTGAGTTATGTAATGTGTTCTAAAAGTTCTTATTTTGTGATAAATCATGGATTTATTCTATTTACAAATCTCTCTCTATTTTCAAGTCAAGCATGTCTAATTTGTGCAATATTATATATTATTTGGAGTTTTTGTGAAGTATGTGTTATTCATGGAACATGAGAACTTCAGTGACAGGATATCCGAAGGATAAATGTGTACCAGACGGGGACATAGGGCAATGAGGCCAATATGGGTCACATGCTGGGTACAATTTGTGAAGGATAACCAAGATTTGAAGGAATGATGTGATATGATTTGGATTGTGTATATTTATATTATATTTACTAGAGTGTGTAAAATAACATTGCTTGACTGGCATATTACGTAATCTACTCACTGAGCGGTGGTTTGCTCATCTCTCACCTACTTTGTTTTTCAGATCAATTAGTGGGTAAGGCAAAGTCGAAACCAGAGAAGTTGGACTAGTTTAGAGTGTTAAACTTTTATTTATATCTTGTAACCTTGTAAGATTATTATAATTTTTTTTTTAATATAATGGTAATGTATTTTAATCAATTTTTCAGTCCTTTTATTTATTCCTTTCAATTCACGCATCCTGATTCGAGAGTATTCTTTATTCTCAAATTGGGTCGTGACAAAAAACCAGGCTATGTCTTCAGGGATTAGACGAGTGTCTGTACATCAATGGGCTCGGATGTCGGGCTAACAAAGTAGTCGTACCCGCTCAACCGCAAGTGGGAGCAGGAGCCTTACCTTTGGTAGAATGCCCCCCATCCCCATCAGATCATGCCCGAAAAAACTCCTAGTTACAATCCTAACAACAAAATCTTGTGGTTCCTTAAACCAAGTGATGACTGTGCCAATATTTTGGCCAAAGCATGCAAACCGATCAGCCACCATGTTTGCAGTACGATAAATATAGGTAAAAACTTCTTCAGTGATATGTGGCAACATAATCTTGGTGTCTTCCACTATAGGATCGATAAAATATTGATCCGTAGTAGTAGTCCTAAAAGCAAAGACGATCCGGAGAGAATCGCTCTAAAAATACAAAATTAGTGAAACCCTTTTCCACCGCTAACACTGCACCATCTCTGGCGGCTATCGCTCAAACTTGTGTTGCGGAATAGATGTTGTTTACATGTAATTCCCTTCCTGTAACAAAGTCACCTTTAGAGTCATATACAACAATGCCCACTCCACCCTTGGTGCTGCCTGCTGCCCAAGAGAAACACTAATCTTTGAACACCCCGGCTTCGGTTTAGTCCACTTTTGGGCCTCCATGAGTGTGCGAGCAGCACCACCCTGTTTGGCGTGGACTCATGCAAAGTCAAACAGTCGAACAACAGCGCCATGGCTAATTTTGTCCGAGGACGAGTTCTTGTTGTTTCATAGTTTGTCATTTCTTACCTCCCGAATTGCCCAACTAGTAGATAGAGTTCGAAGACAACATAAGGAAGATTCTCCGCACATCATAAAACCAATCATGTACTCCCTGATCTCGAGATCACGCTCCAAAACCACCCAAAGAGGAGCTGGTCCAAACACCACGAGCAAAAAGGCATTCCCGCAGAATATGGATAGTAGATTCTATTTCATGTATGCAAAAACAAAAACACAAAAAGAAGCAAGGGGTCTCCAGTGCCACCCTCGTTTTGAGAGAGCAGCTATTTTAGAATTCCAAAACTATTAAAAAGGCTGTTGGAGATGCTCTAAGAGTTTCCATAATCTTTCTTTCAGTCTTAGTTTCTTAAATTCCAAAAGTGCTCTCATGATTAATCAATTTAGCGTATGTGGCGAAAAGTTGTCTTGAATATGATATTAAGGTCTTGATTTACAGCTCGACTCATACCAAAAACAAAATAAAAAAGCATGAATCATGAATGTCCCTAAAAGATGGAAACAAAATTAAAGTAAATGGCGTAAGCATGAATAAAATAATATATAAGTGAAGTACATTGGTTTGGACATTATATACCAACGGAGCATCTTAATCCAAGGGTGATTTTTTGGTCAAATCTTAATCCAATGGTAATTTGGTGTTTTCATTTTGAGGATTTTGATCAACGGACAATTTGGTACTTTCGTTTCTTGATGTGACTTTTAAAATCTACCAAAATAAGAGAAGAGGGGTTTTACTTAATTCTTTAAGTTCTTACTAAGCTGCTAATATGGTTTAATTCAGTTGAAAAAGGGTCTTCATTTGCAAATCAGTGGTCTGAAGTTCAAATCTATATGGCACCTTGATAGAGAATATGTGTGAGGAAACACCCCCTCCCGGTTATAATTTAGACTATCACTTGTCAAAAAATTCCTACTAAACATAATCGTGCCTGCTTGCTGACTCACTTACCAAAAACTAAGAGAGCTTCTAGTTTCTTACTCACTTACCAAAGAAATAATAATAATAATCGCTTGCTAGCAAGAAGACAAAATCTTTACAACTTCACACACAACAACAAATTTTAAAATCTTATTTTTACTTATAACTCTAAATACCGAAAATATCCTCATGATTATCTAATGCCCAGAGTTGTTCTAGAATATGACACCAAAGGCTTTGATCGGTAGCTTATAAAGCATGTGTGATGTGGAAACTTGCTTTTGAGGATGATCATCATCCAAATGGATGTCGTCATATATTCTCTTTTGTGTCTCGTGCTTACCCATTTTTGGTTTGTTTGCCCCTTTTGCCTCTAGAATGTAATAACTCGTGAATAGTTTGTCAACCAAAATGCATAAAATATCAATTATGGCCCTTTTATGATCAATAATAAAAGCAAAAGTGTCGGCTAATAATAAGAAGAGAGATTAAAATACAGAATTTTAAGTATAGAAGTAACTGTTCTTAACTGCTTGAGAAAATAACTTAATCGTATACATGATATATGTGATGCTTCTAGTATATTTTAAAGCGATAGTGTTGAATCCATCCTTTTTTTGAATTTACAGATCCAAGGCAATATACTAGAGTGAGTCATCAATGTATATGTGTTACGGCTCTAGTTCTAAATTGAGAATCTTGTGACATCCAAATGGACGACCACGTGCAGCAACGAAACACATCGACATCAAGGGTCATGACATGAGTGCACGTAAGTGCAAGGCACTTTAAAATAGAGATAATAGAAAAATATAGAAGAAGTTATGATATATTTTGGTTGTGAAAAATATTTATAAAAAAAATGAAGCAAAAGGAAAAGCCAAGTCATCAGCTGACAGGATCAAAACATAAGACACAAACCTTAATTATAGAATGTTTTGGGCCTAATGAATAAAGCTATTACTTATAAGAATAATAGATGAGAATGAAATTTTCCTTTAAAATGTGATATAATTTACCACTACATATTGCAATTTTGACAATTATTGCCCTATATAATATAATAAATTGGATGGAATAACTTGCAAGGCATGGCTTGTGCATTAAACATGTTTTATGCAAGCAATTGTCTAAAAATACTCTGGACTGCACCGGAAAGGGAAATTAATTCATATCGAAGTGGACAGGCACACTGTCTTATCCAATTGGTCGAAAATACTAATGTTTTATAATGTCATTTTGAATTATTTTTAGTTACATCTCCAAATACTAGCTGGATCCTTTGATTTATTCACTGAAAACAAAGATAAGAAGATAAAGCATATAATAAAACCATCAATACTTAATCATTTTATTGATATTTTTTTACTTATAAATCTCAGACAATTTGTCAAAATACTCAATGCGTAGGTACTGCACTAGTTTGAAAATTTGAAGGACGCAAAAATCAGCAGCAGCTTGTAATTTTAAGAACACATGCATTGATCATATACATCAATACCAAGGACTGAAAAATTGATACTGTTACTGCGAGAATTACTTATTCCATATTCTCAAGATCATTTTCTTTTCTTCCTATTTAATCAGTTTTAATGTTATTTATTATTATTCATTATAGTTGATTACATCACTCAATTCTGTAATGTTTATAAATTAGTTATTATTTTATATCGCTGGTTTTTTGGGAATGGTGGGTTTAGGTAGAAAGTGGCGGTAAGAGCGGTGGAGTTGGTAGGAGAGATGATGAGGTGGGACATAAAATGACCATTTTACACCTAAATTTAACAGAAATCGTGACATAGGACCAATGATGCTAACGAAAATGAAGTTGAGGAACTACATCAACTATTTTTCAAATTCAAGGATGAAAATGCGACTCATGTACAAATTTAGGCACTATTACTCCTAAATAACCAAAAAATTATATTGTTAAACCTATCATTAGGAGTGCATCATAGTGTGTGGATCCATCGTCACTAGTTACCTATTCCTTTAAAAAAAAATGTGTACGTTTTTCAATAATTAAAAAATAATAATTAGTTATCCTTAAAAGTCCATTTTATTTGTTATTTATAGCCTTCATTTATTGAAAGTTGAGGCTGAGTGTACGTAGTCATCCTTTCAAGAGGTTAGGCACTCCAAATTTTTTAGAGTAAAAAAAAATATACAAGAAATTGAGAGACTTAGTTGGGGAAAAAATGGAATTTAAATGAAAAATGAGACATAAGAAAGTATTTAAACACGGTTCTAGTTGTATATAATTACGCATTTATCTCTTTTTATTCAATAACTAGCCTCTCCGCACGAACTTCCGCGCCTGCGAGAGACTTTTTTTAAAAAAATTAAAATTTATTTTGGAATTAAAAAAGATAATGGGTAGTTGTGTTCCATAAAAATAGGCCATTATCTTATTTTTCTTTTAATTTTAATTTTTTTAAATATGAAAAAGTGTGAATTTACCATATTATCCTCATTTAATTAATAATTTCAATTATTAATGTTTGCATTAACCATTTTAGTATTTTGAATGTTTCACCATTCTCTGTCTTTTGCTTTATATATATAGATAAAATATTATTTAACTGAATAGTTTATTATGTCGCGTACATGCTATCAAAATAAGTTTTACATTCTTTAAAAAAAAGTCAATAAAACAGTATAAATTCAATTACAACTGTTTTTGGCTAGATCTTAAGAATTAGTTGAACATATTTGGGAAAAAGAAAATTACGAAGTGCAATTCTTAATCCAACATCTATTTAAAGCTTTGGATTACCTCAAAATTTTGGAGGAAACTATTAACTTGATACAGAAGCAAGACATTTCCTGTCAAAATGTCTATTAAAAAAAGAGTGAGCATGAATATTAAAATAAATATTTTAGAATGTCATACATCACCCACGAGTGTCATGACAGCTGCTTAAATTCATATAAAAAATTCCTAAATAAACTAAAATATCTTGTTTAGCATCCATGTTTATCAGAGCAAATGCTATTGAAAAGGATTGGGTTTTATTTTTCTTTTCCTGAGCTTGAAAATGATGTTCAAAGTGTACCAAGTGAAAGATCACCCTAAATGAAACTTGTTTATGTTAAACAATTCGTGTTAACCCTTAAGTTTGTCAAAGGGCAAGGACCTTATTAGTCTAAGTTTTTCTATTTCCTGTTTATGTTAACCCTAACCTCAAGAAATTTACCAAAAAATAATTTTAAAAAATAGCTCCAAGGAAAGCCGATTCTTCCATGCCTTCTTTTATTTATTTTTATTTTATTTTTGCATACCACAATAATATTCAGAAACTGGACCAAGAAGGCTTTTTGTGTAAGTCGAATTCAGATTCCAATAGATCCAGGAAATGAATTTCAAATTACTCAAAGATTGTGTCATTTACGATGTCTTATAAAATGTTCTCAAGAGTCGAGATTTCTTAGTTTTAAATGTTTTGGGACCTTCGGATCTCCACCAACATCAATATGATATGATTTGTGGGGTAATAATAGTACTTTGATATATCTACATTTCCTTCTCACCCTCTTGGCAACCCTATATTTAATTTGCATCAAAGATCCCAAACAAAGGCAATCAACATCTCAAGTTAGCCGCTATATAACAATGTCATTAGGTTTTCAGCACATGCGTGGACATGTGTAAATAGCTCTTCTACTATCTGATTGTATTTTATTATTATTATTATAATTTATACAAGCGAAGCGATATTGGGAAAAGGGGAATCGAACTTTGGATCTTAAGTACAAGGGTAAATGCTTTTAACCGCTTGAGCTACAAGCCCATTCTGTATTTTATCTTTCTTAAGCATGAATATCTTGAGAAGAGTCTTTAAAAATACACATGGGTTAAAGAAATTAAAGTTTGGTTAGATTGGAATGAAAGGACTTCAACCATATCCAAGGGCATAATTCAAACCTTCCTCTTCCTCTTGGTTTCTTTTGTACCAAAAATTAAAAGTTGGGTTTAAAAATTGATGGGGATGTGAAGCCCAATCTATTGGCTGAAAATTAAAAGCAAAAGACAAGGAACAGATATTTCTTAAAACCATAGTTATTTGCTTAGTTAGTAGATACAAAGTTCCTCAACTTCAAGACAAGGATGCTCTCCTAGGTGAAGAAACCTCAAAACATTACGGAACAAATATTAGCTGTCCTAGGCCATGAGAAACCATATATAGATGGAGACCATTTCAAAATTGACACAGCTGAATAACATATATTTAGGAATTGTAAGCGTAACTTAGTATGTTTCAAACACTGAATTACAGCTGGTAAAATTTATGATTTGTTACAGGCAACCTGCAGTTTGACACGTATATTTTAATTTTTGGAGTGTTTTCACTAAGTGAATTTTGCATATATGTTCGACTGTGATTTGAAGATGAGTAATACTAGTTGCTTATCTTATTTTGGAATGAGCTTTAGCATGTTTCAAACCAACGCCTCATGGGGTCGAGGCTCTGAAACTTACCAACTCTTATTTTACAAAGAATTAACATCTCAAACCATATCCCTATATATTTTCTTTTTATTTGGCGCTAAATTATTATTATTATCTAATAAGATCGGCTAATTTTCAAACAGCTCAACCAAAGGTAATCAATGAGGTTGTGTTCTCAAGCAACCTACGGAAGCTTTTGTCACAAGAACCCCAAAGGAATGAATAGTTCAGACTTCCCTGCTCGCCCTTTGGTTTTTATGTCCACTGATTCGTGATAAACTACAGCCAGAACAGTAAAAGAAACCTCCATAGATGGCAATGGCAACAATGTTTTATAGATAGAGGCCAAACTACTCTCCATTTGTGTTTTGATGCTAAACCCAGCATCAAGTGTGAAATGCAATTCCAGCTCAAGGACAAACACAACAGATCATCCCAGTACCTATTCTCTTCATTACAGCAAGCCCTCTCTTACATCAGGCGAGGGAGGTCTCACTACGAATTTTGTTCTTGTAGAAATCTAGAAAATTAAAAAATTAAAAAGGAAGACAAAGAAAAATTGGGGAAAATATGGGGGGAGAGAGCACAATGAATACAACTCAGTTACTCGTCAAGCATAACTGATTCCAAGTTGAGACCCAAAAGGCAGCAGCGTAACCATCCACAGCTCACCCTAAGGAAAATAAAAGAAATTGGGGGAAAGGGCCAGAGAAAATAAGGGCAACCAACAAAAAAAAAGTGGGGTTCAGACGTTAACAACATTAGGAACCACTTATAGACAACCTATACAACAATTTAATATGTTTATGTTTTCTTGCTACAGCATATCTTGATTTAGCAATTAAACATGCAAAGAAAAAGGTAGTAGCCAGCCCTCCATTAACCAAGCAACTACCAAAAACAATAAGTGACAGATCAAAGAGAAAACTTCTACTGGTCAACCGAACTATCAAATGGAACAGTGGCAACATTTGCCTAATTATTTCAGTAGGAACAATCCCAATACCAATTATACAACGCTATCTAAACGTACACAACCAGTATCAACAAATGAAACTCAACCAAGAATTGTGCATTACCTGTTCAAAATAAGCATTTTGCAAGTCACCATGAATTAAAGATTGTATAAATCAGCTGGTCTGCTCATACCCAGATATGGTGGAATTTTGATGCAATTCATCCCAGCAACATTTGATTTCACACGACCTTAGAAGTAGCTTTCCCTAACCAAGACAAGTTCTAGGGAGGAGGAAAAAGAGGAAAAGAAAAATAAAGGGGGAAAAAAGAAAGAAAGATGGAGGGGGAGTAAGACACCAATTTATAACATCTGGGTAAGTTACTAGGTTCATAACTCCCAAAACTTTCAAGACTTGGACAGATGCTTAACAGCATAAGCTCTCCATGAAGAACTATCAATATCCATGACTGCATACCTTCATATACATCAGAGAAAATCAACCCTGCCAAACTGAACTTCAGAAAGCTCCAATCAAAATCACCATGAGTAACCTGCATGTGTTTGAGACATAACAGGCCCACCATACCATCAAACATGAATAAAATATGGACCCATGACCAACTAGATCAAAGAAACACCAAGAACAAATACTTCAAATATTTACATAAACAGTGCCAACAGGAAAAAAAAATGTTGCCACAAAATCTGTAGACATTAGACACAAGTTGACCCTGAGGAACTGATTTTCTAACAGACCTACAGAAAAGATAAGCTTATTATAAAGACCAAATATTCATATCTTCTTCCCAAAAAAATTGCACCAAATTAACTAAAGCTAAATAGCATGAAAGTAGCAATATTTCTTAAAATAAATAGTTGGAGTAATTCATAATGTAATGTTAGAGGTAATGGTCCAACATACATCAATCAGTAAAAGAAGCTCACTACAAACACTGGATGGTTGAATGCAGATGATATCAGAACACTTCTTGAAATATTTAAACCATATCCAGATCAGCTCAGAGACCCACAAGGACCTGCAAAAAGATAAAAAGAAAAAAGAAAAAAGAAAAAAGAGTATACTTATGAAGTGCCACACAACAAAAGAAACACTAAGCAAATCTTCCAAGAAAAATCGTCCTTCTTATGAGAAGCAGATCATTCCCCAGAATGATCAAGTATCTCAGTTAGTCCCTCAAATTAGACAGTTTTTATCAGTTCAGCCACACTTGTCAGCATCCCCAGCAACATATAATCTTGAACCCTTAAATCAGCGCCAAGGTTTGAATTCATATTTTCACAAGTTCTCTTCTGCACTGGGGTCATCAGAAAACATGTCCGCGTTTGGTGTCAGGGAACTTCTCTTCTGAGCCTTCAGCATGATGTAATCCTTCCCGGAGCCAGTTCTGCTCACATCATCCGCATCAGCTGACTTTTCACGAACATTTTGATTATCCAGTCCTGCAAGCCACACAAATAGATTACTCAGCTAATGCTAGTTATCAAAAGTGAAGAATCAGTATTTATCACCTTGCTAATTACCAGAGGTGCCAAGCTCTAGATTCTGAGTGATAGACACTTCCTGCTTGCTCAATTCCTCTACATTCAATGAGACTCTAGAAGTTCGTGATGCTGGGCCTCCTTCATTGTCTAGATCTTGCACAAAACTATGTTTTTCCATACCTAGACTATCTTCAGTTTCCATATTTCCCATTGATTCCTTTGAGCCAAAGTCCTCTTGCGCTGAAATAACCACTCGACCATCAATTTTCTTCATCGAATCATTCACCACAGAACCGGGTTCCTGATTGCCATCTTCGAGATGCTTTGATTCATTATCACCATTCTCATCCCTTCCACAACTAATTTGATGCTTGCCTTCAGAAGATTCTGACCTAGAGGGCCGCCTTCTGTGTTTTAATTCCTTTTCATCCGAACTTCTCGGGGATAACCTTCTTCCTCTGCGACGCTTAGGTTCTAGTGATGCTGACCTAGACCGTCTTCTCCTATGACTCTTTTCTTTCTCATCTCTACTTTTATATGCTCTATCATTGGAGCGATGCTTCCTCTCAGCAGACTTTGACCTTGACCGCCTTCTGTGTTTCAATTTATTGTCATCCAAGCTTCTTGGGGATGACCCATGTCCTCTGTCATGCTTACCCTCTGGAGAGATTGACCTGGACCGCCTTCTATCACGATGCTTTGATTTTTTATCTCTACCTTCACCCACATCATCCAAGTTTCTTGGGGATGACCCATGTCTTATGTCATGCTTAGCCTCTGGAGAGATTGACCTGGACAGCCTTCTATCACGATGCTTTGATTTTTTATCTCTACCTTCACCCACCTGCTTCAAGTGATGCTTCCCTTCAACAGATTTTGATCTTGAACGTCTTCTATCACGATGTTTTGTTTTTTCATCTCTCATTTCATTAGTTTTGTCATCAGGGTGATGCTTATCTTCCACAGATTTTGACCTAGACCGCCTTCTATGTTTCGTTTTATTTTCATCCAGACTTCTTGGTGATAACCGTCTTCTATGATGCTTACCATCTGTAGATACTGACCTGGATCGCCGTCTTTCTCGGTGCTTTGCTTTTTCATAGTGGGTTGAATGATGATCGTGTGATCTATCTAAATCCCGCCTTCTAGTTCTTTCACCGTCATTCTTAATGTCTCTGAAGGACCTGCGGTCATTATCATAGCTTGAATAATGGCGTGACCTCAATGGGGATCTGGACCTACGATCTCTTGGGTAGCGAGATGGAGGAGAGTAAGAAGGAGATTTCCGCCTTCGGCGATAATTGATAGGTGATCTGGATCTGGATTTTGATTTTGATTTTGCACAATGCGGTGATGGAGACCTGTAAAAGGAGTAATTGATTAGCAAAAGAATACTTTGATTAAAATAAAACATAAACCCTAACACAGGACTGATTATGTTCATAAAGTATTAAGTTTTCAAAGAACTTATGTTCAATAAAACTTATTCAAGCAAACTGGTAATTCGCTAACACTATTTTATGTATAAAATTTGCAACATCAATCTCAAGACTTAGATATCCAAAAGGTAGGATATTTATAAGCTTAAGAATATTTAAGCATCACATGATTCTTCATAATCTAAATACCAAAAGTCTCGGCAATATATAAAATATGCTTTGTTGGCAGTGATAAGATCCTATCAATGCAACATACCTAGATTTCTCTGTTGTTTCCTTTTCTTCAATGTCAACTCCATCAGCTTTTAGTTTCTTACTTATTTCTGCTGCTCTAGCTGCAGCTAACTCTGTTGCTGTCTTCATGGTTGCAGCTCTGTTCGCTGCCTGTTGGGCGGTCATAGTTTGCTGCATAAGCAAAGCTTGTTGGAATTGCATTTGTTGCATGGCAACAGCTTGCTGCATCACCATGGGCAAAGATGAAGAAGCCATAGAGGAATTCATTATAGCTGGTTTCTGAGGGAGTGATTTTGCCATTTCAACATTCAAAGGACGGCCTCCAACATCCATATTATTCAATTGCAAAGCAGCACTTGCTTCCTCAGGTTTGGAGTATTCTATATATGCAAAATGCTTTGAATCAGTGATGGTACATTCAACAACTGTGCCACAAAAGCTAAAAAGTTGTTTCAGCTGTTCCACAGTGAGAAGTGGGCTAAGATTGCTAACTTGAAGAGTTTTCTTCAACACATCAGCCTTCCCAGCTTTGTCAGGTGAACCTAATTAAGAGATGGTAAGACATTATTAATAAACAAATATAAATGCATGCATATATATAGTAACTGTTTTAAACGAAACAAGTTGCAAACAACAGAAAACACATTTTAAATAAGACTACAAGAAAAAACCTAAATAGATTTAAGAAACTAGTAACTTGTGAAACACATTGGATTCACTCCGAGGGCATGGCATGCCTAATTTTTCAGAATATTAGAGAGCTATACCAGAAGAGTCTTTGTTTGACTGGGCATGTGCTTGCACCTGAGCAGCATGAGCTTGAAGAGCTTGGGCAGCAACAATTGCCTGAGCAGCAGCCATTGCAGCTGCAGAAGGTGCCATAGGCACTTGACTAACATTACTCATAGAGGTTGTTGCAGCTAACGCAGTCATTAGCAGATTGTGAGGTGGGTGGTTCAACTTACAATCAGTTTTGGCACACCGACCACTAAGGTATTCTCTACAAACTTCCCCAAGAGATGCTCCAATTCCTGGCAAAATGGCCCCCCCTGAAGCACCAGGAACAATGCCTGGAATCATTCCCAACAACCCAGGGAATGCACCTGAAACAGAAGCTGAATAATTTGGCATGTTGGGCATGGTTTGGTTTACTAGATTAGGAAATGTGGATGCCGGAGCCAATCCCAGCAGTCCACCAGTACTAGTACCTGCACGAGGAAAACAAGTCTTTAAACTATCCGTCATAGAGATAATCAGTAACTTGTTAATAAGATGTACACTGAATAGAGCTCGGAATATCCGGTCAGCAATATTTCTTGATAAGGAGTAAAATCAAGGCACTATGTTCCTTAAAACCCCTATCTCTTTTCAGTCTTTTCTACAAAAGAATCTTTCTGTTTCTTCTTATCTCTTTGTGGTTTCAAGTTTTATTGCCTCAATACTTTAGGTTTTCCCTAGAAAAGTGCACCTTAGGGGCACCTTATGCGCATACGATTTCACATACAGACCACAAACTACATGCAGCATTCTATAACCCATGCATGCTTCACTAAACTTCCAAAAATAAGATTGGCTAGGAACGCCAACTAACTCACAAACTAACAATGAACCTGCAATAGATTTATGTAATGCTGGACTAAATGCATTGACAGCAACATATAAAAGCACATCAATTTTAAGTACCTGTACCAGCACTGAAGAACACTGGGAAAGGGCTACCCATGATGGGTTTCCCATTGCAATCCACATTCACCATATAATTCCCTCGTTTTGGCACCACATACGTAACTGTGTACGTCCCATCGCCCATATCCTTCACCATGCCTTCTTGCTCCGATCCCCCAACTCCTACTCCTGGAATGACCTTCACCTTAATCTGCACACCACCATGTGGAACCTTCCTCCCATCAGAGTCCTTAGTCACTACCATAAAGGAAGACGGCGCACATGCCGTGCCACCTGCAATTCCAGCTCCGGCTGCAGTGCACTTTGCCGGGTCCACTGGCCCAATCGGCTTGTTTGCCAAGTCCTCAGCTTCTTCAGATTCACTATCCGATCCAGCCACCACCTCTTTCTCTCGATTCTTATCCACATCTTTGAATGTGGCCTCAAAAGCAGCTTTTGCCGCAGCAGCTTTCTCAGCCTCACTCTTGACCCTCGCCTCCTCAGCTTGCTTCATCCATATTGGCTTGGCAAGCGCAGTGCTTCGATCAGCCATCAATACCCTACTACCCACCAATTACCAAACCTCACACAAACCCTAAAAGTTTATACCTTCGTTCAATTCGACAGAATTCAAAACCCAAATAAGATCAATCAGCCAAAATCTCCATTCGCACTGTCTTCAAACCCTAAAAATAAACAAAAATACCACGGAAGAAGAGGCAAAACAACGATAATTCACAGCAACTACGGAAAACCTAAGCTAGTAATGTTTTGTTTGATTGCCGAGATAATAAATACTGATAATAAATAAGATAAACAGGTTGATTCTTTTCTCTTGTAAATTTTCTCAGGAACTTCTATATTGGACTTTCTCAGCAACCAAACGTCTAGAATCTCTTCAATGAAATTCAGGATGGGCGTAGAAAGAGGGCGCACCTATTTTCTGTTCCGGACGGCGTAAGATTTGGGTTCGCGATAAGGTGCGATATTTTGAACAGAAGGGGAAACAAAAAGGGCAAAACAGACAGATACGCCCTATGAATTTATTTTTTTTTAATTTTTTTTTTTATTAAATACCTTTTTGGCCACTGTGTTTATACCAAATTTCAATTTGTTCTTTAAGGAACAAATTTAGCAAAATTGGTCATTGTATTATCAAAAGATTATAATTTATAGACTTGCAGTTAGTTTCGGTTATTGTAGAGTTAAATACCTTTTTTGTCACTGAATTTTACAAGAAATTTCAATTTAATTACTGAAAAATAAATTAGCCAAAAGCCATGCAAATGCAAAACTATATTTTGAACTCTTTTTATTTTATTTTATCAAATCTATATATTGACATAGTTATGTATTTGATTTTTTTTTTTAATGTGGGAGAATGATAATGGTTGGGATTATGATTGGAGTTTTTTGAAAGATCAATTTGCATTTTTGTGAAACCATTATTCACATATGAACATATTTTGTCATGATATGATTCCTTCTTTTAGCCTTAATTGATGCTACACCAACCATAAATTTTAACCTACGAGTAGTGTGTGAGTATAGCATTTGCATGGATTTTGGCTTCAAAAAAATTCTTAGTGTTCAAATTGAAATTTTGTGTAAAATCGAGTGATTAAAAAATATTTAAATAAATAAAACTTAACGGAAGGTCTATAAATTGTAAACTTTGGTTAATACAGTGATCAATTTGTCTACATTTTTTTTCTTAGTGTCCAAATTGAAATTTCATTTAAAACCCAGTGATAAAAAGGTATTTAACCTTTATTTTCTAATATAAAAAATCGTATTTATTAGTTTTGTGTTTTTATGGCAAATGATCCATTAAACGGATCGGTCTAGTCCTCAAACTTTCAATTAAATCAATGTCCTTTTTAGTTTTTATCCATACATCAATTTGGGTCTTGTCATTGTATTTCATCAAAACTTTCATTAAAACTAATAAGTTATTGGTCGCTCGCTCGTTCACATGAGGAGAGTCTTGACGGCTAGGGTTAGGGTTTCTTTAGTTTTCTTTACTCATTCTCTGCGATATCTCTTTTAGTCTTCTTTGATTGTCTCTTTGGGTTCTTCTTGGTGAATTGGGTATGATGTTTTTTTCTTTCTTTTATTATCCATGGGGTGGCTGCGTTGGCTTCCTTTCTAGGTTCCCAAGGAGCCAGTTGCTGGTGAGGGGTCTCCATCTTAACGCTATGGAGATGGCCCCCGCCTCTTCTGCTCAAGGGGATGAGAAGCGTACAAAAACTAGTGTTGGGCATCTGATTGTTAATGGCATGGATTTTTCTGATAAGCATAGTTTTTGTATCAAGTATTTTGTTGACAATGAGGAGGAGACCAACCTCAAGGGGTCTCCAAAATCTCCATAATAATTCTCCTATGGAACGTTTGTGGGCTTGGCAACTGATGAACGTTCCTACTATGAAGATCTTTCTTCGGAATTTTCTTCAGGCTAAGAGGCCAATCTTGGTCTCCCTTGCTTGTTAGCTGGGGTTCTGGATCAAGAAAATTGGAGGTGGCGGTTGGTGTTTAGCTGGATCTGTTATGATGCTCACAATACGTTTTTGACTATGTACGAAGAACTATGTGTAGAATTTTCTACGTCGACGGGCCGAGGGCCCACTCCAACAACACCGATACTGTCCCTACTTAACCACCTGCACAATCCTCAAGTGTGGGGTTTTATCACAAAAGGCCTCTGTGTTAGTTAGAGATGGGTATTTCTATTTAAACTACTTTCTCTTTGGCCCTCTAGCTGATATGGGACAACAATGAGTTCCAACACTCCCCCGCACGTGAGACCCCATTTTGTGGGTCACACGTGGAGATCCACACATCGGCAACCACGTGGAGCCATTGGGGACTCACCCATCGCGCGGGGCTAAACGGGGACCCACCCATCGCGTGGCACCTTTGGGCCTACGTGGAGCCATGTGAGGATTCACCCATCGCACGGGCCAAATAGGGACCCACCCATCGCGTGGCAGTACGGGCCTGCCACCTGGCTCTGATACCATGTAGAATTTTCCAGGTCGACGGACCGAGGGCCCACTCCAACAACACCGATACTGTCCCCTACTTAACCACCTGCACAATCCTCAGGTGTGGGGTTTTATCACAAAAGGCATCGGTGTTAGTTAGAGATGGGTATTTCTATTTAAACTACTTTCTCTTTGGCCCTCTAGTCGATGTGGGACAACAATGAGTTCCAACATTATGATGCTTTCTTTAGATCATAGGAGGCTTTCTTTGACAATATCTGCGTACTGATGGGATGTGTTTCAATGGTTTTGAGGTTGGGTGATTGGTTGGATCTGTTCTGATACCCATAGTAAGTTTTTGACTTTTTTTCTAAGAACTATGATGTTTTTTCTAGATCATAGGAGGACTTCTTTGACATTATCTAAGTAGTGATGTGATGTTGTTTTAAGGGTTTTGTGGTTGGGGTTTAGGTTGGTTTATTTCATATAAGTTATTTGACTCTTCTATTTAGTCAATAGAATGGGTGGTACTCTTTCCTACCCCGGGATTTTGTTTCTTAGGGAAGGTTTTAACGAGGCCGCTGTTAACATACTAGTTCTTATCATGTAATATTCCTTTTTTTTTTTTGGTCTGAACCATGAGGTGGTCCTGGATGGGCCCCAACTATGGGTGACACCTTTAAGCCTTAACCACAACCCAGACTAATCCCCACTCACACTGGGTCGGCCCGTAAGGGGTAAAGTGTTGGCCAAAGTGATGACTTCGTACGAGAGCAAGGATCATGTAATATTCCTTTTGGTTGAATGAAATACCATCTTTTCTATAAAATAAAATAAAAACAATTAAGTTATTATTATTAACATAGAGAAAATAAGAATAAGAAGAAACGAAAGAGTTGAGAAAGAAAGGAGAAAATATTAACTTAAGTGATGTATACCTTTAGTTCAGTGAACCAAAGGTTTGAGAAATTATGAAATAAGGTTTGGACCTACTCTTCTTACGGGGTCTGGACCTAGTCGAAAAGGTCCTTGACTTGCAAACTAGAGATCTCATGTTCGAATTCCCACAACATCATAGTTATGTGTATGTGAGAAATCCCCCTCACTATGTAGTTTAGACTATCACTTGTACTAAAAAAAAAAAAAAAAACCTAGACCTACTCCAGTCGCAAACCCAGCCACTACAAAATTTATTGTAAAAAATTATATAGAAATGTGTAATAGAAAATAAAGAAATTTCAAAAAGGTATTGCCAATACATTGTACTTGGATTAAGCCTTCCACCAAAAAACATTGTTTTCTTTATCTTCAACTATTTTCTTTATTATCTCTCTCTTTTATTACTTTCATAACAATAACAACATCACAAGACAATGAAATAATAGCATCACAAGAATACAATTAGGGGTGGACATCTCATCTAAAAAAACTGTGTACCGACCGTATCATACCGACGGTTTGATTTACTCAAATTAATTTTTGTAGTTATTAATTTAACTAATCTGATTTGTACCGAAAATATTGGGTAAATGAACGGGTGGGGACATCTCTTACCGGTACCTACCAAACCTATCTTTAATATTAATTTCTTATTTAATTATAAAAATATGTGTCAACATGTTAATGGTTGGATAGAAAGGCATTGTGGCCTGCATAATACTATATCAGCCCACTAACTCTACCTAGCTAGCCCATTCTTTAATTACCCATGACTATCCTACCTAGCTAACCAAGCCCATAACTGTCCGCCAATCAAATACCTCCCCATACCAAGCCCAGTAACTTCTTCTTCTTCTTCCTTTATTCTTTTTCTTCTTTCTTTTTCCTTTATTCTTCTTCCTTTATTCTTTCTTTTTCTTCTTTCTTCTTCTCCCTAAACCCGAAAACTTTAATACGGTTAACGGAAAAATCCTCTACTATTTCAAATCTACTCACGCCCAGACCTAAAAACAATAACATCACAAGGCTAAATAATAATCTGACAAGACCAAATATATATAAAGCAAAAGGAAGAGAATGATGAAATACTAATGGGTTCCCATTACAATGATGGTGGATTCCCCCTACCCCCAATGGCACCCAAAATCGATACTATTTAATCGGTCCAGTGCGATCCTATTTTAATAAAAAAAATATATAAAATTAACTAATTTAGTTTGAACCAATTCTAATTCGATTTCCGGTTTGGTCCTATTTTGGACCGGATTATTATTATTATTATTTATATAAATTCCAACTAAAATTTTATTTTTTGAGCTTGAAAAACAAATAAAAGGCTTGAAGTTGGGTTTGATAACTTGGAAGAGTATTTGGGCTTGAAGAAAGATTAGGTGGAGACAAAATTGGGATTGGGCTAATATTTTATAAATAAATAATATATATTTAAGTCAATCTGGTTCAGCCCGATTTGATTTTTTTACTATAAGAATTGAAACTGAAATTAGACCAAACCAGTTTGGTTTGGTTTTTGGTAAACTCAGTCTTGTTTTTGGTCAACTCGATTTTTTACTGTTTTTTTTGGGCCCAATTCGGCTTGGTTTTTCAGTTTGAATGCCCACCCCTAGTTTTTTTTCCTCCAATGTAACAAACAAAAAGAAACTTAATGCAAACATTAAAATTTAAAATTATTAATTAAATAAGAATAATATAGTAAATTCACACTTTTTAATATTAAAAAATTAAAAATTAAAAATAAGGGAGACTCACTATTATACCAAATATAGGAGAATGAACTTTAGAAACACACCCAAAGCACATTTACAACATAACAAAAAAGTTTTTAACTTCTTTTAAATTACAAAACTGCCATTGATTTCTTAAAACAAACCCAAACCCAAAACCTCATAAAAAAGCTTAAAACACTTAATAAGGCATCAAAGTAATTTAATAATCAAAATTAAATTCAATAGGGTCTGCTGTCATTTTTTAAGTTTGTTTATAGAAATTAAATTGTGTAGGGTTTATCTATATTATTAGTGCTAAGAATGGATATATGACTAAATATCATAAAATAATAGATCTTATTTTCAT